CGATCCCAACTCTCGAAGCATCACAATACACAATGTAAGAACCTGAGGCTGATGGCAAAACTAACACTGGAGCTGTGGTCAAAGCTGTCTTGAGTTTCTGAAAGCTCTCCTCGCACTCGTCTGACCATACGAATGGTGCACCCTTCTGCGTCAGCTTAGTCAAGGGCGAAGCAATAGAGGAAAAACCCTGGATGAACCGGCGATAATAACCTATCAAACCGAGGAAACTTCGAATCTCCGTGGCTGAGGACGGTCTGGGCCAACTCTGCACCGCCTCTACCTTCTTTGGATCAACTTGAATACCATCAGTGGACACCACGTGTCCCAGAAAAGCTACAGACCCAAGCCAAAACTCACATTTGTAGAACTTTGCATAAAGTTTCTCCTCCCTCAACCTCTGTAACACCACTCTCAAGTGTTGAGCATGCTCCTCCTGGATACGCGAGTACACTAGGATATCATCAATAAAAACGATAACAAATGAATCCAGATACGGCCGAAATACGCTGTTCATCAAGTGCATGAACGCGGCTGGGGCATTAGTCAGCCCAAAAGACATAACCAGGAACTCATAGTGCCCATATCTAGTCCTGAAGGCAGTCTTCATAATATCCGAATCCGTGATCTTCAGCTGGTGATAGCCTGAACGGAGATCAATCTTCGAGAATACCCTTGCCCCCTGGAGCTGGTCAAACAAATCGTCAATACGAGGTAGTGGATACTTGTTCTTCACTGTCACCTTGTTCAACTGTCTGTAATCAATTCACATCCTCATTGTGCCATCTTTCTTCTTTACAAATAGAACCGGTGCACCCCACGGTGACACACTAGGACGAATAAACCCCTTATCTAGGAGTTCCTGAAGCTGATCCTTTAGTTCTTTCAACTCTGCTGGTGCCATGCGATACGGAGGAATAGAGATGGGCTTAGTGCCCGACACCAGATCAATATCAAAATCAATGTCCCTGTCCGGTGGCATGCCCGGCAGGTCACCTAACGGAGCTACTGCAACTCTCGAAATTCCATTCCGACCCTCGGATCAAAATCTCACCTATCCACCGGAATTCGCCAAAATGCCAACTTTGCCAATTCAAGCCTAATCCTACTCCGGACCTCCAAAATCACTTCCGATCGCACTCCTAAGTCACAAATCACCTCCCGAAGCTAACCGAATCATCGGAATTCACATCCGAGC